TGTGACTATTCAATCTTGTCTTTGCCTTATTGTAGAAGTAGAACTGTACCTAACTGTTTAAACTATTGGTTGATTGATATTATTGATTGCTATATGATTTACAGGTTGTGTTTCGGGCGTCTCGCTCCAACAACTTCTACCTCGCCCTACTACTCACCATGCTGTTCCTCTGTGTTCTGCCGGTTGGGTACGCCGTGGTCTGGGTCGTACCGTCTTGGCATTGCGGTCCTTTCTCTCGATACCATCGCATCTACCACATCTTCACATCTAGTCTTAAACAGGTTACTCATCTCTATTAGTAGTGAATGCATGGGGAAAAGCTGGTGTAGTATTTAAAGCAAAGAACCTCTGTCCTGAATTTCTAGGTTCAAATCTCACTGATCACAAATGCCACTTAGCTGTCATGATGATTGCCTGGAGTTTCGGAGCCCCCTTAAGCTGAAGGCCCACCTATGAAGAAATAAAGATGATAGGACTCAGGAAAGAAGAACATTCTTTGTATATTGACTATGGCTCTAGAGAAATTTATGATGTGTCTAACATATAGGATTAGTTTTACAATTAAAACATTATCTTACTTACTGCTCGGCGCTACAGCTCTTGTAGAGCCCTGCCCTCCAAACATATCTGCCTCCAGTTCTCTCAAGTTTCTGCTCGCAACCTCCATATTCTTACTCCAGATTATGCAGGTTGTCCTTCAGCATCCAACCGTCTTATTCTCTGTCTGCCTCTTCTTCTCTTTCCACCTGGTCTTCCAGTGAAAATTTAGCGGCAGATGAATCTTACCTTCGTTTGGTGTACCCTACCCACCTAATTCTACCTATTAAACATATCAGTACAGTAGGTGGAAATGGTAAAAGTCTTAGAGTTTCTTTCCCTACCTGGATGAACTTGTGCATGAATAGTGGTATGACAAAAGTGGTTGGTAACATCTATTTATCATTAATCATTACAGGGTTTGCCGTACGACTGGCTCCACAAAGCTTTCGACTACATAGCTTCACCAAGCATCGTCATCCCTCTACTGATGTTGCTAGTGCTCATCATATACTACCTCATCTCCCTTACAAGTGCTCTCCGAGAAGCTAACAATGATCTGAAAGTAAGTTGCAACGCCTATGTTAAATTTGGCCACAGCTGCATTAACACAATTAATCATATTTTATGTTCAGTAAACTTACCTAATGTAGAGTTCTTCACAAGATGGCAGCTCAAGCGAAACTGAGCTTACGTGTCTGACTGGTAAACCAGATCCCTGATGTGAAAACGTCCCTAATTGTGATGGAAAATGTTCGCAGTAATCCCTCAAACGCCATAAGTCCATTAACACCTAAAATGAACTTCAATCAAAAAAATGTTTCGAAATCTACTAACTACAGTTCTTTTTGCTTATAAAACAGATCCGTTTGGAGATCAAAATCGAGGACAGATGGGTTCAGTTTCAAACCCATAAAAAGTTTCTGGTTTTTACTCATGATTGAACCGGCAAACCATCTGACTGCCAAGCAAGCACTGTGCTACCCAGCTTCCACAGAGAAGTAAGGTACAGAGGAAACATTATGTATGCTCTCATGTACTACAATGCTCATGGTGGAGGAAGACCCTGTGGCCTGTGTGATAGGAATTTCCGCACAGTGCTCGCTGTTCAGGCTCTTCCTTGCTCGTCACAAATATATTTTTTCCCCATCATAATAGTGCTGAAAGTGCACGGTCGTTCCATGAGAAAGTTTCCTCTGTACTTTACTTCTCTGTGATTATACTTAGAATAATACTGTAGAAAAATTATAGTAACACATAGCAGTCAACAATTGTAACAATTACATTAGTAACAATTGAAGTCAACATGGCGGTAGTAAAGATGGAATTACGTTTTGTTTTAAATCTCACCAGATTCAGTAACAAGATATTCGTGCTACATTAGATTTCAATAAACATCAAAGTCATAAATCTCCTTAAGTTTTCATGATAAGATACAGTAGAACCTCGATAGTCGATAACTAGACTCTCAAGGGGATTAAATAAGACTTGTTATAAAGGTTGACTTCTTATCGAGGTTTGCAACAACAAAATGTGATAAGGGCTAAAATAAAATTCAAGGGGATTAGAAAATGACACTTGTTAAAAAGGGTGACTTGTTATCGAGGGTCTTGTTATCAGGGTTCCACTGTAGAAAAATTCTAAGTAAAATATTGTTGCCCTTTGGTTGGGGAAAACTAAAAATACTATTGTCCTAAACAAGTTACTCTAATGCAAATTTACATTCTAAAAACTAACAATAAAATAAAATGTATGACTCAACTTTTAAGACCTATAAAGTTTTATTGTGCAAAGTTTTATTGGCAAAAATATTGTGATAACTTTTACAACTTTTACCAGATCCAATTGCGAAGAGAGAGAACAGAAGAGAGGAGGAAAATGTTCCAATTGGTCGACAAAAAGAGACAAGAGGCAGAAAATCCTAGTCTTAAGTGGAAGAAAGCAATGCCAAACTTTCCATATGGAAAACTGTCCATAGCTGATATTCCTATAGACCTTCTTAAAGTTGGTGCGATCAATGGAAATGCAAATTATGAATCAACAAAGAAAGGTACCGTGGGTTTTGTTTATTTTTATGTATGATTATTATTAAGAATGTTGTAAATTATTCAATTTTATGATTGTCACAAATTCACTCTGATATGCACAATAACTCACAACAGTCACAACAGTAAAAGAAAATGCTGCTGTGAGGTTTTGTATTTATTGAGATGTAATCAATAAATAAATTATCTTTAATTTGTGTAGTTTTTTACAAAAGCATTTTTTTTTACAGATTTAATTGAAGAATTCATGAAAAAAGCCAAGAGAATGCCATCTGGGACTTCTGAAGAGGAGAATATTCTGCTTGATGCAGGAGACGGAACAGATGCTGAACAACACGACTCTCTGCCCTACGACGTCGCCAAGGACCCTAAATATGCAGGGCTCATCAAGAAAAAGGATGGTACTGACAAGAAGATACTGAAATATGAAGAAACAAAAAGGAGGAACGGCAAGAAAAAGATAGAGAAAGAAAAGCATTCATCAAGTAAAGAAGATGGATCTGAGAACAGTGTGTGGTCAGAAATTCCAGAAATTCGTATAATCCAGACAGAGAGCAATGAACGCCTAGACATAGACAGTCAGTCTGATGAGGTGAAACCTTCCAAAATCAAGGACAAATCTAGAAGTAGTTCTTCACAACAGAAAGTTAAGAAAAAGAACGAGAAAAAAGTAAAGAGTGGTCAGTCCACTAGAAATGAAACAGGAGAGAAAAGGAGTGATTCAGCCAAAAGTTCTCCAAGACATACTAAGAAGATTAACAAACAAAAGAAGAGAAGTAGTAGTAAAACAGAAGGGGAATCATCAATCGATGCAGCCGATTCCGGAAATGAAATTAGCGAAGAAACGTCACCTACAGAGAGTAATAGAAAGAATTTCGATAACAAAACAACTGAGAAGCCCAAAGTCCACAAGTTAAAGGCCATCATCACAGCATCACAAGCAATGAAGAAGAGGGAAAAATCCCAAACGAAGCAGAATCAAGATGAAAGTGAGGGAAGGACTGGGAAAGATCACAAAAGAAGAACTGTAAAAAATAAAGAAGAAAGCTCTCACAAAAAATCATCCAAATCAAAATTGAAAAATGAGAGCGATGAAGACGCTGTTTTGAAATCTTCCAAAGAGAGTGGAGATGATTCTCAAGATGAAGGCGAAGAGTCAGAAAACTCAGAAAACAGTGATGTCTCTGATGATGAAAGTGAGCATAAAAGTGAAAGTGATGAAGAACTTACGCATTCAGAAAGTGATACTAAAACCGATAGTGAATCTAAAACAAGCAGCAAACACTTGAAGAAACAATCAAACAGTACAGAAACTGAAGGTAGTGATGTATCATCTCATACAGTCAAACAGCTTGAAGTTTTGAAACAGAAGCAAGTGAGCAAAAGTGAAATGGAAGATGAGAATGATGGGGAACGTTCAAAAACACAAACCTCGAAAGAAAACAAAAGTTCTAAAAAAGCCATGGCTCGATTTAAAATAGCAAATGTTCTCTTAAAAGAGGCTAGGAGAAGAAGCAGTTCTGGTCTTGAAGAAAAGTAATATGTAATATAAAATAGAAACTGTCGGCTAGTTACTAAAATACTAATCGGTCCAGTGAAAAATTGACTTTTTCGGCTGGAGAACTTAACATCCATAACCATACTATGGATGAAAAAATGTTTCATTCAAACAAAAACAGCAAATAACTAATTAATAGTTTTAACATAGCTTTGAATACTGTAGTTTAGAATCACCCCATCTACTTAAACTCAATGTTTATATAAATGTAAAATTATGTACCGTATTTTCTATTATTTTGATAATTAAAGTTAAAATGTAATGCTGAATGAAATAAATAGCTTAGCAATTTATTAATTCCCAATAAATAAGTATTTTGAAGGACCACATTATAAATCTAAAGTTTCATAATGTATTATTCTTATAACAGCCTAAATGTTGTAAATATTACTAAAATATATCAAATGTTATTTCCTTTTTGTAATCTTTTATTATCACTTCCATTTTTCCTCGATAGGCCTACATGCCAAAATATTACCAGTCTCAATATTTTATTTACCATAAAAAATCTACAATATTTTCCATAAAACTATCGGTGCCTAATATCTCTTTCTGATTTTGATAATTAATTTTACTATACTCCCATAACATTGTTTGTAAACATAAAGATTTTTATGGATGTTTCCTACGACATTGTAATTTTATTTGAACTACAGCAAATCATAAATATTTAAATATAAGTTATAATTTCAAAATAAGTTTTTAAATTGATGTCTGGATGTCTAATTAAGGTGGTATATAAAGTTGACTAAATCTGCAAGTTTCAGGTTTGCTATCAGCTGTTGCCTTTCAGAGATAAAGGAGTGGGTGTGTTATCTTCTGATAAGAGTAGCATTTCCACACAACTCAAGAGTGTGCTTTAGTCATCTTTCGAGAATTGTTTACTGGTGTTTAGACAAAAATCTAGATTGAATTATAACAAAATAGCTACAGTGTGGTTACAGATAATCTGCATAATACATGTTAACCATGCAGTCTCCGAGCAGTGATGTTGTTAAAGTAGCCATCCAATCCAACAACAATGCGATTTTATTTAAGTTGGCCCAAGATCAACCTTTGGAAATAGTGATCCAAGAAGTTTGTGAACAGAGTCAAGTGACTTTTGAGAAAAACAAGTTTGCTCTTCAACTCTTGTCTCAAGTAAGTGACAATGACTCGTTTACTTACATAACCGAGTTCAATCGCTACATGATCAAGAACGGACACGAGCTTAAGTTAGTATATAGCGCACCACTTTTGGCTAAAATGATCCGAGAAAAACTCGACTCTAATTCTTCAATAGAAAATTTGCACTGGGCTTTGAAAAAAGCCGCTATTTGTAGCGCTGATCCAACATTTTGCAAAGAGTTTTTCCCTCTAGGATACTCCGCTCTAAGGAAACTTTTGAACGAATCTGTTCTTACAAAGGATTTGTTCAGTAAAGCACTCCAAGTGATTCTGAACCTTATAAAGAATAATTTCTTAAAAGCCTTAGATAAGGAATTTCTTTTACAATTGAAAGACATAGTAACAAGTGATCACCATATACAAGAAAGTATAATTGAAACAGCCCTTGAAGTCTTAGAAGCAATAGTGTTAGCTAAAAATGACTCGGAGTTTTTGACTTCTCTGGTCAGTGTGGATGATATTGTTCATCACCTGTGGAGCAGGGACTCTCCTCAAACTCAGAGCAATGTTTTAGCCTTACTAAATGCAATGACTCTAAAAAGCACTAGATTGAAAAATCAAAGAATGCTGCTTCAAAAGATGAATTCAAAGCCATTGAAAGATACAATATACACAAACATAATTTCAACAAATTCTCAAGTACCTGCCTACTTATCTCATGAATTATATGTGTACCAAAGTCTTATACTTACTCTTGATAAACAACGTTACAGGAGGGTGGTAAAGAGTGATTCATTCTTGCCCGATGTAGTTCCTTACCTGAAATCAAACACTTTTGAGAAAACAGTAAAGAAAGAACTTGACGCAAACTTTTTCCCCTTGAAGACTGCAAACAGCAACGTTTCCTTGACAAAAGCCGATTATCAAGATGAAGACAATTACAGTTTAACGCCTTCTATGTCCAGCAGTGTGTTGTACGCTTCCGATGATGACGAAGAAGTTGATGACACAGTTTTTGTGCCTGAGGTCAAACGGAATGGTTCCAAAAACGATAAGTTAATTTCTCAATTGACTTTTGATTGCGTGTTCTACTTTCACACGAATCATCATGATGATTACAAAATAGCTTTGTCAGACGACGGAAACAGTTATACTCGATATTTGCAAACTTGTGAACAAATAGTGCAACTTCTTTGCACGAAGGTTCTTCGAATTGGATATATTCCGGAGAGGGACGAAACTGCTTACTGTCCACTCGTCTTTCTAACTGCATCTCCTTTCTTGGAGGAGCTCTTTTCAAAAACTGTTAACCTCATGCATAAAACCAAAAGGGAAATGAAGGCGAAAAACGCATCTGATTTGGAAAAGGTAATGTAATTTAATTTTGTAATTAAGGCAAAATATGGTTTCATAAATAAAATACTAACAATATTTTAAAACTTAACTAAGGAAATAAATCTATAAAAAAATTATGATGTGTAGGTTTTTGATTGTGATACTTTTGTTTTATGAGATATATGCTAGAGAATGGAGAAGCAGAGAGATTCTCATAGTTCTATTTCCTCTACTTATAGGTATCAAAACTTGTTTTCAAGATTATCTTTACCAACCATCTTCAAACTAAACTTCAATAATTAAGTATACTAAACTTGTAAGCTAATCAATATGTTCAACCAAAGACTAACCAACACAAGTAGACTTCCCATCCCGTTGTAAATTTTGAAGATCGTGTCTAGTTCATGTCTGGTGACACTAGTGGCTAGTGTCGACAAAATTTGGTTTCTCTTATTTTAGAGTTAATTTAATGATTTTTGCTTTACTGTTTAGTTATATAACTAGAGTATGAGTTGTTGTTTATGATTAGATCGTATAATTTGGTTAAACTAGGTTTTTGACTGAAATAACAAGAAACAAAAATTGTAATCAAAACACAACATCTACCTGTGCACCAGACAGAACTAACGATAAAGTTAGCTTCAGCTGTTCCATAAGGGTGGGAAATCTACCAAGGGAGTATGTTTTATCTATAGTTGAACTTTATGAATATTTTTAAATTTAACTAACTTTTAGTTGCCTGCATCCTTGAGCTAGTAGTTTATTGACCATATGATCTTAGCTTCAGGGGTCTTGTTAATCTAGAATTATATTGATTTCAATAAAATATTTCTTATTTTGTAATAAGAAGACCTGAAGATGCCACAAAAGCTGGTGAAATGTACATAGGGTGAATACAAACTACTAGCTCAAAAACACAGGTAATAAAAAATATATATAAATATAATTGGAGTTCTTAAAAACATTAACACAAAAATACTTTTTTAAATATTACTACTATATTGGGCTTGGTTATGTTTTTAACTAATACAAACCATATATTTTTTAACATTTAATTAAACATTACCTTAAAGTAGGTACACCAGAATAAAGGCAAACTGGCATTCCTTAGTGCTGGCGTTTTCAATTATAAAATTGTACAAACTATTAACTGCACTGAAATATTTAGTGACACATTTCATTGTTCCACATACTTTTAGTACACAGTAAAATATTTATTGTCGATTAAAACTTGAAGAGTGATTTGTTTATCTTCTTTCCTTTAGATTTACATTTACTACTGGTATGTGGTAAATGTATCGAGTCAATTATAAATTCAAAATGAGGTTTATACTTATTTACTCAAGGTATTTCAAGTTCTTCAAAGGCAACTCTTGAAAGCGCTGGAGACCCAACCTGTCACCTTCGATCAGTTAGATTCTGTTTTGTCAACGCTGTCTTATTGGGCAGTGAGGAATCAGTGGCAAGAAGAGCAGGTTGAGAAAGAACGCAACACTCTAGCAAACTCTCCTGCAGTGAGGCAGCTGAAGGCATCACTGGTGGGCGAGACTAAGGAAATCATCAAGAAACAAAGGTTACAGTTTGTAAAGACTGGGTCAGAGTTTCCAGTATGGAATGCTCAGAGAAATCAGGTAATTGACAATCACTATACAGTAGAACCCCGATTAACCGAACTCGGGATAACCAAAACCCGAGTTAAAAGAAATAATACAGTTCATACAATACTTCATAAAATAACAGGGATAAAATATGCTTTAGTAACTTCAGTGGTTTAATTAAAGTATTTTCTATATTTTTACATTTTTGTAGCTGAAATGAAACACTGTATTACATAGACATTGTTTTAATAGTATATTACGGTTAATAGTCCTGAAAATAAGTTGTTACCGGATGAGAGTATGGTCTTTCCCGAGCGAGACAAATTCGGGTACGGGATTACCATACGAGTCCGGTTAACCCATTTTGGACGAGTTACTTACGATATATTTCGCCATACTACTAAATCTGTACAAATCCTTATATATTACCACCAACTAAAGGACTAAAAATCACTAGTCATAACCTCCAAGAGAGGTTATGTTTTTGTTTATAACTACTCATTGCCACCCAAATACAGTATAATCAGCTGATTGGTGTACGGTAAAACTCATTACAGTAAAGTAGTACGCAATAAAACCCCATTTGATTAAGCTGGTGGCAAACAGCTGTTTTCTGGACTAAATCCTTGTGTGAGAAGTTCGTCAAAATAGTGTAGTGTGGCGTAAACTCATTTTTCCTACACACCCTGGTAATACATTTAGCTACCCTGGCTATTTTTAGCATATGACAGGTTAACCGAAATATTGGTTATCCAAAACGGCTCTCCCCCCTTTATTTCGGTCAACCGCGGGGTTCTACTGTAAAACTGATTATTACATGAAGTAAGTTGGCAGGCAAGTAACCTACCCTCAAGTAACTTGAAATACACTTAAGGCAATTAACCTGCCTGCCTATACCGGCCTTGTGAAAACGCAACTTTTATTTATTTTAGGTATAAATATGCACGAGTATTATAGTTCGGCCGCTTAGAAAGCGACCTCCTCCAGCATTGGTTTAGCATCAGCGTGCAGGTCGTTTTCTAAGCGGCTGAACTATAGGTTTTTTTTTACTAGAGAAGATTTATTGGATTTAGAGCCTTTATTAGTTCTCATATTTGCGTTTTTTCAACTTGACATATTTCTTTCTGTAAACATAATTTGCGAAGTGTAGGTTAATGTGAATAATACTGTGGAACTGTGTGGAGAATAATGTGACTTTTTCAAGTACACTCAAGTAGGCTATGCACAGTTTTAAGGCGACAAAAACACACTGTGGTGGATACACAAACCCAAAAAAGTATTTTGGCCTTGGGGATTCACAGAGTGACTTCTCAAAAATAAAATTATATTCACAAAACACTTTTTGCAATGAGCAATAGACTAACATACACTCCATTGATGAAGAATCTGAAGCTTCTTATTTGTACTCTCCAATTTTCTGAATCAAGCTTACGTTCTAAACCGATTGGGAGATTACTCATTATGTAAAGTTCAGTTATAGTTATAAACATTTTAGTACCACAGTAAAGCTAACGTTTTGTTTAGAGAGTGAGAAACAAGACATGGTTTGCGTCCCTCACTACAAACGAGAAGGCCATCCAGTATTACGAGGTCGAAGGAGAAGTTAATCAGCTGATGATGGAAGATGTTAAATCTATCGTAACAGGCAGAAGATGTCCCCACATCAAACTATCAAAGTAGGTTTTGTCTGACAGAGATTTACTATCTTGAAGTAGACCAGTAAATTCTGCGGCTTGATATATCTTTGACTATAGATTTTCTACTAAAGGAATTAGAACTTTTTTAAAGTTTGATGGCAAATTTAAAGGGGGTAGCAATTTTTGTACTGCAAATTTAAACTAATTTGATATTTCAGATCAAGAGTAACAAGTGGAGAACTAGCGTTTTCACTCATAACCGAAGAATCTTCTCTAGATTTTATAGCTCCAACTCAAGAAGTCTACGACCATTGGACTGATGCTATTAACAGTTTGTTAGGTAAGACTATGATTATTAAGGTAAAAATATCGATGGTTCAAACTGACTGAAACATTTTTTGTTCAGTTAATTTTGACATTGGATACAAAACAATGCAGGATAGTCAATAAGTACCAGCAACCAGTAGGTTATGACATTTAAATTTTAAAAAAATTGACAGCCATCAAATTTTAAGTCATATTTCATATCAAGAGGGCCGTTTTGTAGTAAATGGGCCCGAGCTCACTGCTTTAGAGGCTTTAGAGAGCTTACCAGGCCAGGGGCGCAAGAGGTTTTAGGTTTGTTGGGATGCAACAAAGAGAAAATTTCTCCTGCAGGGAAGGGGGAGGAGGCAAATATCTCTTGGGCCACATCTAGCACATAGAAAGAAATAAAAATATTTCACTGTGTGGTTAATATTTCAAAATCACTCAATATGGTAAATATACTAACTTTTTCCTTATTTATTTTTTTCTTTTACTTAAATTTTTGTCAAATGTTAAATTATTAATGTCATAATTATTTTGTTATCCAACTTATTCTATCAGTTTAAAAGTCTTTGAAGCTATTATAAAGATACAAAAATTTCTCTTAATTTTGACCTGTTGGCGCATATCACCATATCACCATTGGCGTTTGAGTTTGGCACATTCTTTATTGGACACTCTGTGTAACTACAGCTACAGCACATGCCTTCCAGGTGGTTTTAGCCATCCTCCTTCCAATAGTCAATTAGTACCACTGATGTCTAACATTACGGTTATTGCATCTCTCATTGTTCTATAGGTGCTTCCTAATAAAAATATTTTTTCTTTTTTAGGGAATGAAATGAAGAGTATCGGCATGAAGAGAGACTTAAACTGTTTGATAGATATGGAACTTCGGTTGCGTTTGTTGAACCTGGATGGTATTGACATACCGGACGAAGCTCCCCCCATCCCCCTCGACCCTCCCAGCTACGACTTTTGCAATCCATGATTTATACATTCTAAATCAGTCATAGTTTATAAGAGTTGTGCTTCATTTTTTCAAACAAAGTTTAAAATATTTCTTATAAAAACTTTTGTGTCTAACGACATTTTTTTTATCCTATTTTGAAAAACTAAATCATTTCCAGGGAATCGTCAGGGAAGGTATAGGAAACATTTCCAGCTTGGATGTAAAGGATAAAAGTCAAAATTGACTCCAAAATTATAACTATTTTATTTAGGAAACCTTTGCACTGTATGTTTCACGTCGACGTCACCAAAAAATCCTCAATAAGTATTGTGATAGCCTGGAAAAATTGCCTGACAATTACATGAAATTTTCACAAATAAAGCAAGTTAATGCTGATATTTCAAAAACCTATTAGCCGAAACTTATAACTTATAAACTTAATACACCAAATTAATAGCCTGACACATTAACAAGCAATGAAATATCTCTTCAAGGGGTTACTAATGCAACTAACTCTTCTAACTTCTATACATCCAGATTATTCTAATGAATAAGTTTAAAATTTAAACTACTTGGACAACTTGTTTTTTTCCGATTTATAATATCATATATTGTATTACATAAAATTTTAACCATCCTATACAATTTACTTATTTAACAACTCTTCAGGTTCTACACCATATATTCATGTTGATTTTAAAGAAAGTGCAGGGTTATTCAATCTTTGTACATTTATAACTATAAAGGGGTGAGTATTTAGCACAGAGAAGTAATTACTCTTGAGGAAACACAAATGGGACAAACACAGTGTGCTTTCAGCTCCAGTTGTGCCAGAAATATACTTATGACGCAAGGAAGAGCCCAAACAGTGAGCCCTGTGTGGAAATTCCTATCACACAGGGCACAGGTTCTTCCTTCACTGAGAGGATTGTAATAATTATGGTTGTCAGAGGGGATGTGGGACTAACCCTAGACACCAGCTACTATAGACAGCTAGACACTACTTAAGTGTACCATGGAGTGTATCCTCTGTTCCAATCCAACTTATCTGTGGTCTTGGATAAAACTATTAGTTATGTTTTGCACTTAGATGCCTAGATGTACACCATACTATTGACGATGGATACAGAAGTAAACATCCCATCTATATGGAGCAGCTGTCACCAATTTTTCACTAAAAAAGAATTTAGTCGTTTGAGGCAGTCACAGAATGTGATAGTGTCTAAAATTAAATTCTCTACCTTATTTTTTCTTGCTGACATAGTTGGTGGGTCATAAAAGTTGCTATAGCTCACAAGTCGTTCCATCAGCTTAACTTGGTAAAAAACATCATGTATTTGACAGAAATTAGTTCTATAGATCAGCGCAATCTGTCAGTGGCTCACATCAAATACGAGAAATTTGACTAAAAACATTGGCGACAACTTTAACATGGGTGATGGAATGTCTAGTTGTATCAATAGTCAAAGATGTTACTACTGATAGATGATGAAATGAGGAATGACAGAGTGGTCATGTCGCTGTGGCATGGACTATAAACCACATACCACTCCAGAGCATATTTTAAGGGATTTCCAGTGGGCGACAGTGGCGCCGGACTTACCGGGGGCCTGGGGGTATTCATACCCCCATCAAAAAGGGGGGTCCGAGGCCACCCCGGAAATTTTTGGATAAATTTAAGTGAAAATTACACATTTCTATGTATCTTTTAGTGAATTTTTAGATTAGGCTATATTTGCTTGTAAATAGTCTCTTGGGCCAAAATTTTACAAAGCTCAATACTCTAAAATATTTACATAATGTTATTTTAAATTCCTATAGATTTAAAATGTGAATCATTAAAAAAAAATATGCCGGCACCACCCATAGTCACTGGGCGACAAAATCTCAGCACTGGGCGACACTTTTGTCGCCCAGTTAACATGTTATTTTATGCCCTGTACCACTCAATGATTGTCTTTTGATGGCTCTTCACAAATTATGGCACAGACAATTATAGGAATCCTTTTGTCATCTATTCGAGTGGGGTTGTTCGGCCAACATATTGAGAGAAAAACTGGATTCAAGAGCAATGTATTTAAGAGCATAGGATTTAGCTTTTTTAAGTGAGACGATTTTAAACATTTGATTTTTAGACAAATTATTAATTTAAGCAAGTGTCAAGGGCTGAAAGAGGGGCATGAATTAGGTACCATCCCTCTCCCTGATAGGTGGCTGGATATGCCATAACCATACAATAAACAAAAACTCTTGACTTATAAAATTTTAATTTTAACTATAGCTTCCTAGGCGTGGATATTTATGTTTTAAATTAATTATTTTAAAATATAATTATTTAAACAACGATTTTATAAAATACAGTACCTAACTATAAATTTGACTGGTGTAACATATTTTGTAATTTTTGAAATATGTGAAGGTGATAGCTCACTAGTTTGTTAAATACTCTACAAAGGAAATAATAAATCAAAATCAATGTATTTTCTAGAAAGCTACATGGCATTTAGTTAAGTCTACTGGAAACGGAGAGCAAACAAGATAAGAAGAAGAAGATACTGTATCGTCTGTTGGTGTCGTTATACAGATAACAATCAGCTGTTAACAAATCAGCTCTCAGCTGTGCTGTGCTAAAAAAAAATAGATTGAGATTATTGTTGTGTTTTGTGAATGTGATTGTGAACACTGAACAGGGATTCATCTTAGGATTTCTTCTTCTTCCGGTCCGGTTATTCTCGATCTTGGTTTGATTTTGTTTAATTGGAATAGACCTAGAACTAGGAAGTTGGAATTCTGACTTTGACCCAGAATGACAACATAACCTAACCTCTTTTCTTAACCTTACAACACTCAGTGATGACTGCAGTTTGTTAATTTCCTGTAGTGGAGATAGGTCTAGGCCTAAGTTAGGCAATTGGAAGTAAACTTAATCATCTCGGATTTCACTTTGTTCAGTGAAAATGTCTGGTGTTATTTTTAAAAGTGTTACATGTTCATTATGTTTACTAAATACCTTAACTTCATCTTTACCAATGGGATTAAGGTATGTAAATTATTTTTAACTGTTCTATGGTTTAGTTTTAAGAATTTAGGTACATGAAATAATTTATAAGTAGGCTATAACTTAAGCTAGCACCTAAGTTAAGCTAAGTTAATTCTTTCAATTACATAAGCTTACTGTACTCGGTAACAACTGGCCTATCCTGCCTAACTTATCTTACTTCCTTCCCTTGAGTGATATAAGAGGGATTAACTAAGTTAGATAAGGTCCACTTTTGGGGTACACTTCCATATCTATTGGCACAAACATTGGTGAACCTGGCAATAGCTCAGCAATTTAAGTAGTGCGAGTGCCTTAAAAAATCTATTTGCTGGCCGTTTTGCGGGAAAATACGGCCGCGAACCATATTACAGATAATGCCAACAGATAGAGGACACTTAAACGGACACGACAGTAGGCTATCAATATCATGTACCCAGGGAGTTATTTAGGGGGGGGGGGGTAAAGTCAGCATTAAGTAGTGTAGGCGGGCCTGATAAAATCGATTGCTGGCCGTTTGCGGGAAAATAAGGCCGCGAACCATATTAATGCCAACAGATAGAGGACACTTTAACGGACACGACAGTATCAATATCATGTACCCAGGGAGTAATTTAGGGGGGGTAAAGTCAGCATAAAGAAGTAGGCGGGCCTGATAAAATCTATTGCTGGCCGTATGCGGAAAAATACGGCCGCGAACCATATTACAGATAATGCCAACAGATAGAGGACACTTTAACAGACACGACAGTATCAATATCATGTACCTGGGGACTTAGTTAAGGGGGGTAAATGCAGCAATAAGTAGTGTGCGCGCCTGTAGAGAGCACGTTCCGTAAATGGCCAGCAATAGGTTTTTGAAGGTGCGCACACTTTATTGCTCTTTACCTGAACTCACTCCCCAGGTACATGATATTGATACTGTCGCGTCCGTTAATGTGTCCTCTATCAGGTGACAATATCGGTAATAAACTACGCGGTCGTATTTTTCCGCAAAACGCCAGCAATAGATTTTATAAGGCGCGCGCACTACTTATTGCTGAGTTATTGCCAGATTCACACAAGTGGAATGATCAATTAACTTAAATTGTATTAGCCAATTGTTCGTTTTCATTAAAACAACACTCAGGTCAGACTTTTGATATGTTGGTACCCTATTTTTATTTCTAGAATTAACTCTGGGATTCAAATTGTTTTTTTGAATTTTCCTCATTTCTATGAATTTATCTTTAGGCTAATTCAATTTCGGCAAACAACTAGCCTTAGCCTACTGTAGGTAATCTTTTAGATATTTTATGTCAAAAATATTTTCTTAAATGTACCATAATATGGGAATTGATATGTTTTATTTTCATTTCAAAGGTTGGTTCTTTTTATACACATAATTTTATGTTATTTTAGCAATTGCGCAATAAAGATTCAAACAGATTAGAAAGGTTGTTGGCCTGAATAAGTTTTATAGTTTTCTGTTGTATAACGTCCATTAGTTTGATTTTTGATTAAGATTAATGATATAGCCTAGCTTGGATCAAAGAATCGGTCTTGTGAGATCAAAGCCTTAGAAAAATCTAACATTGAACAAGTTGTGTAAATGGGAAAAAATTAACAAATTTGTATTTTTTTTTTTAGCTGAAAATAAAACTGTTTTTTCTTGTTAAAAAATTAATGGTCAATTTAGCCTAACTTAGTAAATAAGGAGGGAGATTTCAAGAAAGTTGTATCTTCAGGACTTTTTTATGTGTTAGCTTCCACGTGTAACTGCTAACAAGTTTGTTGAGCATATAGCCATATATTCATTTTGAAAAGCTTTTTCCTACAACCGTTTTTTAAGTAGCCTAGCCATTTCAATTCAGTTCTTAAAATTGAAAAGTTTTACATAACAGCATTGTTTAGTTACATAACAGCATAGTTCTACTAAAAAACACAGGTAACGGACCAATGAGGTTTAAAATTGTAGCCTAATGCTTCGAACTTCAACTAATCAGCTGTTTTTCAATTTAATTGTTAACGATTGGTGCAATTAGTGGTTGGTACAATGAGTCGTTGCATCAATGTCAGTGGCAATGAGAGTTTATAAACGAAAA